AAAGAAAACACAATAATATACATATTCCAGACTCTGTGTATTTTCCATCTTTACATGGCTTATTTTTCTTTATTCCTTTTTATACTCTTCTCTCTCCCAAGTCTATGTACTTTTTAAAAAACACACTGTGACCCATTCAGAGGTTTATTTTTGTCTGAATCTGTCTTTATTGTACATCTTTTCGGACAAAGAGCATTTTAAAATGGTAAGAAGTGTGGTTGCAGTGGCCCTGGATGCTGACTCTGCCTCTCTCAGCCTTTCAATATGGTGGAGGTACCTTTATGTCAGCTCTGGGACTACTGGGTAGGAGCCGTGCTCATCACCTCAACTCTGGGAAGGAACATGCAGCACATAAATCCCTTTTGTCTGAGTAAATGCTAAATTTGTCATGTAGAGTGCTGCGTGGCCTGGACATGTTTTCGTGTATGGCAGAGGGAATCTGCCATTCGTTTATGCTTGTGTACACCTAACAGACCCGATCTAGCTGCTTGCCCAGGCAGGGGTACTTAGCGGCAGGCATGCTCTCAGCTACTTTCCTCCTAACCCTGAGTGGGCATACAAGCACTGGGACCCGAAGTGTGTTGCTGGCCATGCATATTAGCCCCAAATGTATGGCTCCATTTGTAGATGGAGGCTGCTCTTTTGTTTCCTGGCCACCTGGACCCAAATAAACACACTGAAGCTATATTAATTACAACACGGTTTGGCCGATGACTCATGCATATTTCTAGCTAGCTCTTACACCTTGAATTAACCCATTTCTGTTAATCTGTGGATTGCTACAAGGCTGTGACTTACCAGAAAGGTTCTGGTCTTTCTCCTTCGGCAGCTACATGGCATTTTCTTGTCTCTGCCTACTTTCTCTCTATATCTCTGTTCAGATTTCTTGCCTGGCTTTGCTCTGCTAAGCCATTGGCTGAAACTGCTTTATTCATTAACCAATGATAATAAAACATATTCACAGCATACAGAGGGGAATCCCACATCAAGTGGGCTTTTGTTTGGGCAAGGAGGAAGCAAGTAGTGTGGGAAGTCTTAGAATATGCTTCATTATGTAACAGTTCGAGTTACATGGTAGATTTTTTTTCATTAGAAAAAGTTGCCACTTATTAAGCTAACGCATCAAAGAATGAAATGTTTTAAGTGCTGCACTGTCTTATCTGTTGAGTGTCAGATAGCAGATAACTGCTGTTCGGATTGTGCCTGTGAGCTAGCAACAAAGACTGGGGAAAAGGAAAGAAGAAAAAATGTGAAATAGGGAAAACCAACTGCAAAGCAGATGGGAGGGGGCCCCTAGGAAGCACTACCCTCCTACCCCCAGTTTTGGGAGGATAGGGACCTAGGTTTCATCCCGACTTGCTCTTTCTTTCATCGTTCATCTCTTGCTACTCTGGCAGCTGAAGTTTGCAATTGTACCCAGGATCCAGCAGCCTCTTCTTTCTCCTTCTCCACCACGCCAAACCAGCATTGTCCTTTGCCTGATATTGCCGCTGTAGGTTGTTCACCTTGGTGCCCAAGCACTCAGATCTGCCGACTGTAGACTTTTCAGCTCATTCTAGCTTCCTTGGTACCCATTCTCTTCCTTCTTTTACCTTCTCGGTCACAGCTCTTCTTCCTCTCCCTAGACCAGCTTGTTGATTTGACAGGTGTAGAGACAGGAGACTATGATCCATCCTCTTGACAAACCTCTCCTTGCTTTTTTGTATAGCACTTTCTTCATATTGCAGGTATTTTCTGTATTTGCTTATTGTGGGCCTCTCCCCTAGAGGTTAGGGATGTTCCCTGTTTATGGCCCATGAGCAGTGCCGTACACATTGTAGGTGCTCAAGGTGGGATAGGTGACAGGCTAGTGAAGACATATGGAATGGAGTGCTGCCTAATTTCTGGAACGTAAAATGAATCCCGTCAAGGTCCTTCATTGTCATTTTTTCTCTTTACAAAGTACACTGTTCAGAATTGGCAAATCTATATGACAAGAAGTGGGTTAGATGGTGCTGAGTGCTGCATGCTGAGGAGTAAGAGTTAGGGGTGGATGTTGTCACTGCTAAGGTTTCCTTTTGTGCTGACAAAAATGTCCCATGAGTGATTGTGGATATGGTTGTACAACTCTGGCAGCATGGCAAACACACACACACACATACTCTTCCCTCCCCTTTCTCTCTCTTTGAAGATTTATTTATTTCTTTTTATGTGGTTGAATGTTTTGCCTGCATGTATGTTTGTGCACATACATTCATGTATGTGCATGCCTGATGCCTGCAGAGGTCAGAAGGGGGTATTGGATTTCTTGAGTTACAGAAGGTTGTGAGCCGCTATTAGGTATTTGGAGTGGAAACTGGATCCTTTGCAAAAGCAACAAATGCTTTTAACTACTGAGGCATCGTCTCTTCAGTCTGGTAAATACTCTTGATCTGTGCGTTGTAATTGAGTTAGTTACACGATACACGAATAGCCCAGTAAAACTGTTAAATTGCAACACAAACCCAAACAAAATCGAATAGTAGCACCATACCATTAAGTAGTAGTAGAAACCAGGCTTGCATAGCATGACCGAGTTTTCCTAGTCAGCCCAAAGCTAGGTCTTGCTAGCTGAAGATGCCAGTGCTTCCCTCCAAACAGATCATCAGAGTAAGTATGTGAAGGCAGCACGGGCGCTATCCGTGGAAGAAGCTCCATATGTAATTGTTAAAATGATGCTGTTGAGTCTTCAGAGAAGGAAAAACCAAACTAAGGGAAATGGCATGGAAGTCCAGTCCTTCCACACATCTCCCTTGGCCATATTCATAAACTCACATATAAAGGCTTGAAGAAGATAAGAGAAACCCGGAGCATAAGATGTCACACAGGCCTAGAGGAGCTGATAGTTTCCAGTAAACCTTGTATGGGGGCCAGGTATGCATGTCTAAGAGACAATTGGTAACTCTTCATACCCCAGAGCCACTATTCAGAATAGCAGATTAAGTCTCAGGCAATAGGGTTAGTTGTGTTTACTGTATTGTATGTATCCTGGGGAAGGTCATATTGAATATCTATGAGAAACATGCTAAGTGTTAAACTTCTATGCAGTGATTCTCAACCTGTGGGTCAAGATCATTTTGGGAGTTGAACCACCCTTTCATGAGGATCTCCGAAGACCTTAGAAAACACAGATGCTTACATTGTGATTCATAATACTAGCACAATTAGCGTTATGAAGTTGCAACAAAATAACTTTATGGTTGGGGTCACCACAAGGTGAGGAACTGTATTAAAGGGTCACAACATTAGAAGGTTGAGAACCACTTCTTTGAAGGAACTGACACCATGGGTTGCCCTTCATTTACCTTGACATTTTCTCTACCAAATATACAGAGAGTTTACCACTGACCTGTGTAACAAGACGGAATGCTGTGGAGGACATTCCTGGGGTACAGTGCACATAAAAATTAATTGATGAGCAGGGCAAGATTTAAATATAATACCTCATTGTTAAATGTCATCAGGTGAGTATGGTCAGCAGCTCAAAGAAAGGACAGAAAGTCAGCTCATCCTAGAGAACCTGCCAGGAATGGAGTCCATTAAAACACCATTGCTTCTCATGGGGCAGGCATTTATCCATCCAGTCTGAAGTGTGTGCTTTATATCACATACCCTTGTATCATTGCCAGTCAGATCAGACAGTTACCGTATAGGTGGTGTCCTGTGGATTAAGGAAGTGCATGAGAAAATAAGAGAACAACATGCCATGGTGCATGTGTGTATGTGCTTTACTGGGGACATTGACAATGCTACAGTGGAAGGGCTGCTGAAAGTGCCAGGATTTGTGTACATGAATGGCACTAACTGACTTGGGACATACATTGTATCTATATCTATATACTTTTCATTTATTTTTAAATCTTTAACAAATTAATTTTTTGGGGGGGATACTATCTAATGTAATGTAGCTCAGAGTAAACTTGAACTCTTATTTTCCTGCCTCTAATTTTGAAGTTCTGGGATTATAGTCATGAGCCACCAGGCCTACATGAGCATACATTATATAGAAAGAACCATTTACATAGACTTTTAAAAGATAGTGTAATGTAGTTTTAAAGTAGTGTTACTGTAACTCAAGCTGACCTTCAACTCCCAAGTCCTCCTGTCTCCACCTTTCCAAGTGCTGGAATTACAGTGTGACACCACACCTGGCTAGTAGATTATTATTTAGAAGTGAATGCAGTCACACACCACTTAAGGGTATGATTTGACATTGTATTATTGGGTAGTTTTATTTTTGAATGTCATAAATGTACTGGTACGACATTGCTGAGACCAGTGCTCACCACGAGGCAGGACAACAGTGGCACGGGATCCTCACTGTGGATGTGGTCAGTTGTTGACTGCACTAGTGTAAGAGGTGTGTGACTGTATGCCATCTGTATTTACAGAAGAGCTGTCTGTAGAAACTATGTCAGTGACTATGTCAGACACAACACTGTAGCGAGGCATGATTGTAGTTCTTTCCAGACCTCTTTTAAAAGCTTTGCATGATACTGCCTGCTTTTTATTCATCCCTTTGAAGAGAATTTCATGTAGCCCTTTCTAGTCAGTTCACCTTTCTGCTTTAGGAGCTTGAAAAACAGTAATGGAGTCTAATTGTGTTTGCATGCAGCAAATACTGAAGCAAAAGAAGGACGCCTGAGTTGCACGCCACTTACTCCTCTAGGCTTTGTGCTTCTGACTATTAACAAAGCTGATTTTTTTCTCCTTGGGAGTGATGCAATTCTTAACCAAAAATATGATGTCATTCTGATGGTTCTGCTTTGTAGAGTACAGTGAAGCCCTAGTAAGGTTTAGTGAGAAATATATTTATTATGATGATGAATCTGAGAAGTTAGTTATCAGTATGGACTGAGGTTGACTGGCAGGGGTTGCTTTATGACTAGCTCTTGAAGCATACTCTATAGTTCATATGTGGTTTTAAGTCACTGTAAACTTGTAGGCAGGTGCATATTACAATTGTCTGTTTTTCTTTTTAGGGCTCATGTAATCAAAGAAGTTTCTTTGTTGTGTGTGTCTTTACAGAACACAACAGGAACTGAAAATGTATCAGGTGAGTTTAACAATAAAAATTTACACAAATTCATGACCTAGATGTTAGTCCAGCTATTGATTTTAAAACATAGAAACACACACACACCCTCATTCCTTCCCCTTGGATGTTGTGTTTGTTTCTAACACCATTATATGTCCACTGCTTTCATAGTGTGAGTTTGTGTGAGGCATGGCATGTGTTGTGCATTGCTTGGTGTGGGTTGGTGTTTCTTTGGTTCCTGAGGGAGACTAACTCTTAGGAACTTTAACTTAGACTTTCTTTTTTAACCTCTCTTCTGCCACATTCAGTGTGAAGGTTCAGTGTATCTTTGTTTGATATATATTAAGGTTTTTATTTTCTGAACTTTTTATTTTGTAGTTTTCCAAGATTGAAAATTTAGAGACCACAAGTGATCAAACAGAAACTTTCAAGTATTTGTCCTTGAAAGTCCTTTGTATATAATACAGAAGGCAGATACTGAAATGTAAGATGTTTTTCTCTTGGAGGAAGGTGTGTGATTGCTGGGAGATTAAACTATTCTGCTCTGGATATTTCTTTAACCTAAAGGGTGTTCTGATAGGTAGTGCTAGCTATGCGATTTTAATGCATCCTAGAGCAATAGTCTTATTTTTTTTTTTTTGGTCTCATTCTCACAGTTACAGACATTTATGGATTCCAGAAATATTCTCCCAAATTTTTTTGTAAGCATTCCTTTAATCTCAGCACTTGGGAGATAGAGGCAGGTGGATCTGTATGAGTTAGAAGCTAGGCTGGGCTGCAGAGCACGTTTCAGAACAGCCAGAACTATAAAATAGAGAGACCACCATCTCAAAAAGAAAGAGAGAGATAAATAAATAAATAAATACATAAATTTATGGTTGTCAGAAACATTCTCTTAACATTTTTCATAAGCAACTTTTAAAGAAATTAAAAGCAAAGATGTGAAGTATTTAAAGCTTAAAACTCTCAAGACTCGAAACCAGTTTGTGCCTTATCAATTGAAGCGTTAGACACCTGTTTGCCATTTCCAGGTGCTTCTAATTAGAAACCACAAGTGTCATTTTGTGAGGTGATGAGGTTTAATTTGTTCTGTCCTGTGTTGCATTGAGAGAGGTGAAATTATTGGAGTGGATCGTTTTGATTTCTTTTCATTGCTTTCATTATCAGAAGTAAGTTTATTTGAATACAGAGGACTATACCTCATAAACACAAGTCTGGTGAGCACATGGGCACATGGTCTCTATTACAGTAATAGTTGAAGATTTACTGACATGCTTTTGAAGGCAGATTATATTTGAAATGGTGAGGGGGTAGGGAATATATACCTCATGCATCAGAGGTATTATTTATGTATGCATTTCATTTATTTTCTTACTTTAAGATTGATTCTTAATGTGAACCTGGTCACTCAAAGGCAGTGGCTTTTCTGCGGTCTGGGGCTTGTTAGAGGAGTCAGTGCTGGGCTGGAGTGCTGGTGACTTTCCAAGGCGGACTTTGTTCTTGCTGTGTTCTGTGTTCATTTATCTGAGGAGCTGACAGTCACGCTTAGGCTGAACCGTGCATTGATTTTCATTCCCTGCTGAGTTAGTAAGGTATCAAGTGTGCTTGGGCCTTATTATTATTATTTTCTGGTACTTTGCATTTTGCTTTCATGTCCCAATTGTGTCAAACAAAGAGTATGCATACTATTCCAGAAGAGTTGTAGCAATAGCCATTTTGTTTTTGGCTCTTTAACAATCTCATTTTGCATTTGACAAGTTTTAATATTAGATCTATACAGGGCTTCCTTTGATGCCAAGTGCCAGGTATCAGGAGGAAAGGATTCATGTGTGTTCTAATGGCCAGCACATTTCTGATTTGTGTGTAATTTAAATGGACTGGCAGTGAGAAAAGTTTTATTTGGATTATAAAACCTTTCTACTTTTCCTGACTAAAACTTTTAGCATTCTAAAGAAATTAAATTTCTTTATTATGCTGAAATATTAAGTTCATTAGTATTTTCCACTATTGTTAGTAAAATAAAGATTACAATTATTCAGATAGTCTATGGCTTTTGTTCTCGTACTTATCACTATCATTGTCAACCAGATTATACTAAATTTTTCCAAATATCTGCACAATAACATTCAGGAAAAGTTTGAACTTGAACAAGATTGATTTATAACTAAAATCCTAAAGTTATTTTATGATTGGTTGGAATTTTCCCTCTAGGAAATGATTAGCATCTCTCTGTTGTGTTTCAGCAATCAAAGCTTCTCATAATGGCTGTGATCCCAGAGACATTAGCAGAGACTCATTTTTCTCCCGTGAATGAGCTATTTGAGACACGGGGATGATCTGGCTAGGGTCATGTTGTTTAAGAGGAACAACAGAGTTCAAAGCCTGCCCATATTGTACACACCCTCATCACACTGTTGTGTTGGTGTGTCCCAAGTCCCTTCTAGAGAGGTAGTTTGCTAGGCTCTCCCTCTGAAGCCATTTCTGGGGCTCCACATGCCCCAGAACATGAGCTCTTTATTTTTCTTCCTTGTCCCTGTTTCTCGTTTAGTATTTACTCTCTTACCATCTCTTTCATCTTGAAAGGGAGCACAGTTTGCTGTGCAAGTGAGTCCTTGTTCCTCCTCACAGTTGTGCCTGGCTGGCAGTCATGTTTGCCCTCATTTTTTATTTTCTCCATTTTTTGGATCCTAGCCATCCTTTTTTTCCTCGCTGACATTCTGCACTAACCCTCCACAGTTGCTCCTGGGCTTTCAGTATGGTAACATCCTGCTAAACTCACTGTAAAGTCTAAGAAATTACAACTTTTTCTTTTGTATTTCAAACTGTTGTAAACTGGAGATCATCTCTGTGATGTTCTCCTGGTTCCTAGGTTGTTTACTGACACAATGTAAATAGGCTCAAAGGAGCCTAAGTTAGGTATGCTGTAGAGTTTAATTCCATTTTGTGCCTGTTGAATTCTTAGCACACTTTCCAAGTACTCTGTTAAGAATGTTTATGCCGGGCATGGTGGCACATGCCTTTAATCCCAGCTTTTGAGAGGCAGAGGCAGGTGAATCTTTGTGAGTTTGTGGCTACCCTGGTCACAAAGAGAGTTCCAGGACAGCCAGGGCTGATACAAAGAGAAACCCTATCTCAAAAAAAAACAAAACAAAATAAATAAAAGCAAGCAAACAAAAAATGCATGCAGATTCTCCTGTTAATACAGTATTTGTAAAACACCCTGTGCAGACATTAGAATTCCCATTTTATTTCTAAAGACATTGAGGGCCAGAGAGATGGTCATTCCAGGGAGAAAAGGAGCTTCCAGTCAGCAGCCCTTCGGATGTAAAGCCTGCTACTGTAGCAGCCAGAATACTTTTGGCTGTGCAGAGGTAGCAAACAGCTCCCCAGCTCAGTGGCTTAGCACAGCACCGACTTACTTCCTTGTCTTTTCTACATACCCTGTGGGTTAGTGTGGAGCTACGCTGCTATAGTTACACAAGAACAAGGGACAGTGGAGGCTTACTAATTTACTGAGTCACAAGCCCCCCACCTGATTTTTTGCATAGCTCAAATTATTATTAATATTTGCAATATAGTGACTCTATTGGCAATATAATGACTATAGATAGTCACAGTGTCTTCCTGATGGAAGCAGTGACCTACGTATGCTACTGCTGTTAACCAGGACAGTTTAGCTCTGCGCTAGTTTTAAAAACCAGTAAAACAACAAAGAAGCTGTGCCCACTCGGCATCACACATTCAGCTCTGGGCACTGTTCAAAGCCATCTGCAGTTCTCTTATCTTCTTGGCTGTCCTGGATGTTTGCTTGTTCCCATGCACAGAATACTTCCCAGCATGCTGTGGGTACCGCAGTGAACCAAGTAAATGAGGTTCTGCAGTTTATATGCAGAGAGGCAGGCAAGGCAGTTTCCAGCAGATAGGGAAGAACTGTGGCAACAATCACTGCAGCAAGTGCCGGGGAGGAAGCATGGCAGGCAGAATTAGAGGAAGGTCTGAGTTACAAAGAAGGCTGTTCTGCGAGGTCACTGTATTAGAACCAAGGTGAGCCATAGCCGGAATTCAGGTGCATGATGATCTAGGAGAAGAAAGTAATAGGCAGACCGGCACACATTAAATCCTCAGGATAGGGGATGAGTGTAGTGGCATTTCAGTTGTATTTTAATAAATAAATCTTGCCTGGGATTGGGAGAGTAAAACAGCCCCCAGCCAAGCAGTGATACCATGCACCTTTAATCCCAGTAGCCACACTAGTTGCCATAGAAACCGGGTGGTTCATGCCTTTAATCCCAGTGGTGCATACCTTTAATCCCAGCCCTAGAGAGGATTGTAAAATGGGAGGAAACAGCTCTCAGACAGTTTTATTCTGAGATTCCTGGAGGCAGGATTGCCATTTTTGGACTGAGATCGAGGTAAGAGCCAGTGACATGGCTTTGCTTTCGGATCTTCAGGTTGAACCCCAATTTCTCCGAGTTTTTCTTCAGATGAGCTTGTTTTAAGAATATTGGTGCCACCAGAGACTCTAGTACAGGGTGACACTGGTGTGAGAGAGTCTGCTATGGAAGGCATTTGTGTTTTATTGCAAGTGCCATCTGATTTACTCTAGAGCCAAGGACAGGTGGCAGGGATGTGCTAGCAACCCTGTTCATTACTGAGACCTGCACCATATTGGGGCATGGATGATTTAAGGGACCTACCAGGTTTTGGGAAGTGGCTACATTTTTTTTTTTTTTGTACTGTAGATTTAATTTGACTGCTGTTTTTTTTTTTCCAAGCTGGCATATAAGAATATTCTACTGTGTGTCTGTCTGTGAACTGTTACTACAATCAGTTGTTCCCAAATTAAATGCAATTAAATGCTGCTTTAGTATCTTGAAGTTTCGTTGTTTCTTTTTTGCCATTGATTGTCCTAGTATTATCTTAGAGCACCCCCACCCCCAGACCACTTTTAAGGAGACAGAGTGTGGCTATGTAGATTGGTCTGGCCTCAAAGCTCAGTCTTGTTTTTAAGTGTAAAC